GGCTGGGAACAATAGAGTCTTATTTTTATTTTAAAAATTATAATTTGCCTCAAGTACACTTTAAAATGCGGTGCTTTTCAAAAAGTCTCAAGAAATTTCCATTTTTGGTTTGCGCGGTTCTCTGCTTCATGTCATCTCCCGCTTCTGCGGGTAACTATTTAATTTTGTCGCCCTTCGGATCGCGTTCAGTGCGCGGTGTGTTCAACACGTTGAGCGAAGGTCTCCTCAGTAAAGGCCATAACGTGACGTTCGTTTCTTCTGGAGAACCAGTGACTCACCACGAGAACATGACCCATGTTACGTCACCACACACTGCTTTGGACGAGCTCGACCTGTTCAAAGTCAGGTTCGGGCTGTCGGTGTTCAAAATCTGGAAGAGAGCGTTTCCAGAAGCAGCCAAAATGATGTACGAAATGAAGGAAATTATAGCGCTTTGGAACGACCGCCATCGGTTCGACGCCATCATCATCAACAGCGCTGCTAACGAGATGGCACTTCCGTTCCTATTGAACGTGTCAGCTCCGTTCATCACGCTGCAGCCAGCTGGCTTGGACCCATTACAGCTGGCTTACCTAGGTAAGTCTTCAGGGGTAAATGAATCATTCTTGAGTCTAAATGGATATTAGTTTTAGTATTTTTACCTAAAAATACCTCAATTTTTTTTATCGGCTTGTCTTGTTTGACTCACGAATAAGCTCCACGCTTATAAACGCCATATCCTATGCATACATTTATGGTATGTATGTTTTTATATACATTACATACATACATATATTTTTGGTACATATTCTTGTACCTAAAATTTATTTATTCGTACATAAGTATCAAAATATATATAACTCCTCGGTATAAAAAGTAATTTTATCTCATAAAATATAGAACTCGTGCTTCTAAAGAAAAAAAATGTGTTCATATACACTTTAAATATAAGTATCTCCATCCATCAGCCTTTAACTGCACCCAACAAATCCAACTGCCGCAATACATTTAACGCAGTTACTGTTTAAAATCTCTCGTCCAACCTACCTTGCAGGGAACCTGGTGTCTCCTGCGACGCTGCCGTCCATAATCCTGCCGTACGACAACAACATGTCGCTGTGGGAGCGTCTGGTCAACACCATCACTCTTGTCGTACTCAAGTATTCCTTCCACCGCTCAGTGGGCACCCCGCTTAAGAATGCTCTCATGTCCAAGTTCCCTGACCTGCCAGACGCGCGGTAGGTTCTCAATACGTTTTTTTGTGACAGTAAAACTGTTTTCCTCACCAGAACTTTAATCTCGATTTACTATCTCTAGTGAAATGTTGAAATAACATCATCATCAACATGTTTAATTTCGCTACACAGGTCCGTCTACCCGACGCAGTCCCTCTCGCTATTTAACAGTCACCCCCTCATCGACGGTGCAGTGCCGCTGCTGCCGCTGCAGGTGGAGGTTGGCTGCATGTCGTGTCGCCCTGCTAGGCCTATAGAGCATCAGCAGGTCAGTCAATCATGCCCCGTTAAATTAAAAAATAAATGAATTCAATATTAGGATATGTTGACACAAGAAGAACTCTGACGAGCACAGCAGAGATGAATTTCTTATAATAGCAATAAATGCAATTAAATCGGATGGTTCTAAAGATATATCAGTGTTATAATCAAAGATTTTCAAATCAAACTAGATACAAAAATGATTGCTAAGGAAGAATATCTAGCAAACTCCTGACACAAATGCTGGAGGAAATAAAGGAAAATAATCGCATGCGGACAGCGAAGTGTGCTGGGGGGGGAGTCAATCTGGAATGTTTTCAGACACTTTCCAACACACGCAATTAACGTTCAAAATTCTTGTATACTATGCCCCATTTTTCATTTAAACTTAAATTCAAGTGAAAGGGTCCCCGGATTTCACACCGAACATTCTATTTACTTTTATTTACTAACAGAATTTAATAACGTAGGCTCAAACATATTACAATTCTTCCGAGGAAATATTCTAATTTTTGTTATGTTTTTATTTCATAACACATTAATACTACATCGGTTAGTGACATGAACCGATCTCTGCGTGCTGAAGATTTACTTGATTCATAAAATTTTAACATAATTGCAATAAAAAAAATGGTATAAAATCATTCTACATATTGGCCAACATGTTATTTTCAAGCACATAATATTCGTGCCTTCTACATTTTTTGTAAAATATTAAAAGATTTTACCTGGAAAACGTTTAGGAGTCCAGCTCCATCGTCAGTTCGACACTCCTAAAAATGCATGTACGATCAATTATTAAACCAAAGTTCACATTGCAGACATTAAAATTAATCATTCAAAATAATTAATAAGCGTATTTACATAACAATAAACTTATTTAAAAGACCAGCACTCAACTCCCGGCAGATGAGGGCGTTTCTCTCGGCCAGCGACCCTCGTCCTGTGATACTCTTCAGCCTCGGATCCTTCCAGCAGCCAGGGAGGTGTGAACCCACGAGTCAGCTGAACTTCTGACCCTCCACTGACTGCAAACCCTCCACTGACTGCCCTCCAATCCTCCCTTGACTGCCCTCCAACCCTCCACTGACTGCCCTCCAGCCCTCCACTGACTGCCCTCCAGCCCTCCTCTAACTGCCCTCCAGCCCTCCACTGACTGCCCTCCAGCCCTCCACTGACTGCCCTCCAACCCTCCACTGACTGCCCTCCAACCCTCCACTGACTGCCCTCCAGCCNGTCTATAGGCCTAGAGGCGACGCGGCTGTTCATGAGCCACTGCGGGCGGCAGAGCATCAACCAAGCAATGTACCACGGCGTGCCCATCCTCGGTCTGCCCATCGCATTTGACCAGCCCAGACACTGCAGGAAACTCGAGCGTAAACGCTACGCCGTTGTCATGCAGTGGGAGGACATTACTGTGCCTTTATTGGTCCAGAAAATTAGCTATATGCTCAGCAACAGCACGTAAGATAACTCAAAAATGCGACACCGTATATTATATGCACAGTTACATCATACCATCAGGTTACCACTAAAATATGGCATCATTTACTATGCACCAAGCCATACCACATAAGTTACCCCAGAAATGCCTTTACACCGACTATATGTCTATCTTTAACGAATAAGTTATCCTCAAAATGCGGCAGCATTAATTAACTAAATATTTAGCCAACCCAGTAAGTTGCCTCAGAAAAGTTGTATTTTAAACTATATGCCCAGCTATACAGCAAAGTTACCCCCAAAATACGTAAACTCTACCTACATGGTTAAATATTCTACGAAAGTCTCCCCTAAATGCCACTGTATTAACTTTCTGCTCAGTGACAACGCGTAAGTTTATGTTCATTGTTCAGTAGTTAACCGTCTGGCACCATAAAGTGCATAAGTTGTAATTACCACACAAGTAACCATCCAATTTACTTCACTTCGAATTGCGAAACTTTTAAGTAATCTGTAATACTATAAGTCCTGAAAACCTTCAATCATAGTTATTTATTTATCATTTATTATTTATAAAAAATTTCTCTTGCCAAGCGAGTCCAAAAGCTAATATTGTTTCTCCTGCAGATACAGCGAGCGTGTGCTGAGGGTGTCACGCAGCCTCAAGGCAGAGAAGGAAACAGGTAGGTTAATTCATTACGCTTTGAACTCAATTAAAAATATATGAAGAATAACTTTTACAATTGGAATCTATTATTCGTCATGCCTGTTTTTGTTAACTGGAATATTTTGAATTTCAAGCTTCATTCGAGTCCTAAGTATTTCGTCCCATAAATCACTGAAGGCTGTCACCTGAATGGAATCCATCAGATATTAATTATCAAATGAATCCCATATTGAGTCACTTAGTCAAAAACCTGCACTTAGGTTTATTTCTCACCATTGACGCGGAGAAAATGAATGAAATTATCTTATTTTACTAATCATTCTCATATCTAATAAACAAATTTTGGCGCCAAATAATATAATTCAAGTGTCAGACATTCAACAGTTAGTATCAACTTGTGCGAGATGCTGCTCTCGAGCGCTAAAGCAGCATAAAGCAACAAATTATTCAAACGACGAATATCAAGCTCCATAATCAGATGAATGGTTGCGGGACACTTTCACTAAACGTAGTGAATTATAGAACGCGACAACGAATGTTGCGTGTAGATTGGTCGGTCCTTCCCTGATGCAGGACGTGAATCCTTCTTGGACCTTCAATGTCCAGCGACGAAGTTAAGCCCAAACATGAACTTAACAGAAAAGCAATCAATATCATTGTATTAACTCTCCATGATCATTTAAAGTTTCACTAAAATAAAAATTTATTAAATTAATCAAATCAAACGAATCGAAGTCGCAAAGCGAACGTCATAGTTAGGATTACCAAAATAGGCAATGCCTTTCTGCTAGAATCAATGACAAAAGGAACAACTGGTAGATGATGGCCATATGTGGGTTGCTCACTTATTGAACGTTTGTTACCTACTGACCCAGGCTATCCACTATCCCTACGCACCGACCACTACCTTACATACAAGTGATACAACCTAACTTTATAACCTCACAATATGAAGCGATAAAAGATAACATCCAGCCGTGATGACCCCTTACTGCTCGGCATTTTTTGAGCCTCACCCGAGCCAGGGTCCGCATCAACGACCGGACCTGCGGGATTGACCAATGAACAATTGCCTATGTTGCTTGTTTACTTTAATGTTACAGAAATTAGATTACTAGAGCTACTCCAATTGTTCCCCGTTCAATTTAATCTTATAAAACTGGATAACTTGAATTGCCCATTTGCTCTGGGATGAATTGAATCGTGCAAAAATTGGATAATAACTTTAGGCGCTCAGTTTTTCAGTCTATATTTTATTACAACACTTTTCTTTAACTTCACTTCTTGTTTGTCTGTCTGCTACAAATCTTGTAATCAAAATTTAACACACTTCTACTTATCCTATCGATCCGAAATTTTGCATACTTGTTTAAAGTTGGAGACAATGCATGAATCAAATGTCAAAATAAATGATTTTGAAAAGTAAAAAAAAATTTTTCTATATTAAAAATTGGAAAAAATAATTTTGTCAGCTACAAATCTTATAACTGATATTTGACACACTTTTACGTGTCTAATTGATCTGAAATTTTGCACACTTGTGTGAAATCAGAGGCAATGCATGAATCAATTAACAGAATAAATAATTTTGAACAAAATATATATATTAAATAAAATTATATATATTAAAAAAATTGAAAAGTAAATTTTTTTAATTTTCGAAAATTAGATGAGAAATTCATTGTTCATCTGTAAGATTGGAGATACTGGATTCTTTGGAAGTGTTGTCTTTAAAAAGTAATTTTTAAACGTATATTATTCATGAGCGAGCTTTATATAAAATTAAGAAAACTTTTCACTGTTCATCTTCCTGTAGAAGATATTATTTCCAAAGTACGCGCTGAAATACGAATTATAAAATTGACTTGGAAGTTTAAGTAACTCCGTAATAGATTTGATTCAGTATTTTTCAGTTTTAATTGGCATTGAGAGTTAAAAGACACTCAATTTGCAAGTAAATCTATTTCTGGAGCAAAATCAAATTTGTTGCACAAGTATCGCGTGTTGTTACCCAGGTCACGGCAAGCAGCGTGACGTCATTCCGATGAGGTGACGTATGTCATGTCACTGATTACGTCACGAAATTACTACACTGATTACGTCACTGATTACGTCACGAAATCCTCTCGGAAGGAACAAAAGCCCCCCAGGGGTTGATGGCCCCCGTCTGACATAGTGGCTATTAAGTTATCCTTTCTTTTGAGTTCTATGAGTATATCAGTAAATTATCAAAGACATTAGTGTTATCATACACATCATTGATATCGAATTAAATCTGGTGTAATAGATCAGAAATTAGAAACGGACTGACAACTAACAGTCTCATATTTGCCACTATGCAGGCCGTGACATAATCCTAACAAGAAGTTCGGCGGGGCATTCTTCTATATTAACGTGACATTATTTATTTATATTATATCTCTTAACATATTAAAATATTTATTATTATTATTTCATTTATATCATTATAGATATATAATAATATTATTATATTATATTATTATTATGAAATTATTTCTTTTAAGGGGAGCGTCTGGGGTAAAAAATATCTCGGATATCACTACTAGACGGATCGATTCAGAATTTGGTACACGTATATAAAATGTAATTATGTTTTTAGGGCATTTTCTCATTTATAGAAAATATGCACTATTGTGCTCGTCATGTCCGTTTATCTGTCTGTCCGTCCGTCCGTCCGTCTGTCCTTGATCTCAAGTTTTCGTCGACGAGAAAATGCGCTCTCTGTCACTCACCGCAGTGAGTACAGAGTTATATTTTTCTTGTTCGCGTGAATTTTTCGAAAAATTGAAAGAAAACGTGAAATTCTTTTAAAACGGCCTAAAAGGGGATACTGTAGAAAGTTAATCACTCCTATGATTTTCAAGCTACAACATCGAGACATATCATTCGATGCGTAAAGACCATATTTAAAAACGTAACCTCGGCTTTTTTTAATGTCACATTTTTGCGGGAGCATTTTTTCCGAAATTTTTTGATTTTACTTCCGCCTTCCCCCCCCCCCCTTTTAGACAAATAAAACCCGAACTATGACGAACATGAGAAAAGCAACCATCCTGTCAAGGATGGTGAGAGCGACGGTGCGGGAACCACCTCGTACGATTGCCGCAAGGTTACTGGAGCTGAGTGTCTGTAGACTAGCTATATATAGTGCAATAACGGAGTTATTCCCTATGTTAAATGTGAAAGAACTCCTTCACCTCCCTCCCTTACGGAATCTGTAGTAAACGCATAAATCAACGTACAGAGATGGTTTGGTACCGTTGGATAGGTCAGAGTGTCAACTTTAAGATGAGACTAAAAACCGGAAAAGCCGAAATTGTCGATTTTGGACCCAGACGCTCCCCTTGATTTTACATTCATTTGACATGACATGCTTCATGCTCCAGGCCTGGAGCGTGCTGTGCGTCACGTGGAGCACACAGTGGAGTATGGCACAGACTTGCTCCAGTTCTCCGGACAACACCTCAGCTTGCTCCAATATCTCCTGATTGACGTGCTCGCCGTTATTGTCTCTGTTATTGCTTTGATCTTTTTTTTCTTGTATGTCTTCATTCGTTGCATTTGGCGAACCGTTTGGGGTAAGCTTAAAATGGACTGAACAAAAAAGGTCGAGCTCCAAATACGCTGAAAAAATGGTTCATTATTTTTGGGAATAAAATCTCATTCAATGGCAATGTCTTTTTTTTCCGTACACATGAAGGGAAATAATTTCCAAACTGTGGTACGTGAACAGTTCCTCCCTTAGACGAGATAATGTATCAAAGATTTGCAGCAGTTGCCACTCACTTTAGGGACGTTGTACTCAAATGAAACGATTACTCTATGCACAAATTATCAACACATCATGTACAGCAAATGCAACTATAATGCTGCCTGTTGAGGCTAATTAGTGATATTAATTGGCGGAACGCGGCGGTATCTGGGATACCCACGGCTAATACCCCATTTTTAATGGTATTTAAGTAAAGGATAAAATTTTAACTTACCACCATAATTAGTTATGAAAATATTGATTCATAATTTTAATGAAACCCGCAGTAACATTTTTGAGAGTTAATTGGTGATTAATTAAACATTCAGAATGGTTGGGTGATCCAAGGTTGCATGAAAAGATGGGGTGATTTGGTTGCATGAATTATTGAAGTTGTATTTTTTATATACTCTCTTATATTATATATACTGAATATAAATATGTTTAGCAAGTGTTATCAGTATAGGATGAAGTGATATTAACTCCACGTAGTCACAAAAATTCAGTTTGTTGACAGTATTTGAATAAAATTTCTTCTCTAATTTGTCTCATTATCGTGAAAGTTAATAAATGCTCCTCTGTTAAACGTTAAAATTATAATTAGTTAACATAAATCACAGTGAATAGTGAATAATAATCGGTTCATCAAAAGCTAGCCTATAAAGAGACAGCTCGTTTAAACGATTCCTCTCTTTCACAAACATTTTTTACATATTACCAAAGTTCTTATTTTTATGAAGCTATACGCCGCAAATCATCAGTAGCGCATTTCAAGTGACGTAGATCAAAGATATTATGTTCAGAAATTGTTACGAGTTTGTATCTCCCTCAGCCAATCACTGACGGCTTTTCACGCTAAGCCCTCCAATCACAGACGAAAATTCCACCGCGTCGTGTACTTAGGCCGCTATGTGCACTAAGACGATTTTTAATGGTTCAGCCCCGTTTTTTAAACCTAGCAACATTTTTCGCAGCGATGGATTGCAAGCATGGGCTCTTTATGCAACATACTCAATACGCAGGAAACTGATTGAAGTTTCATGCCGTGCAATATTAATTAACTTAAACGAAGCTTTGACATGCAAACAAAATTAAGTCAGCAGTATTTACGAAGGCTGGCTTTGGCTAACGAAAATAAATCAGTTGTCATGCTGAGCTGGGCCATGGGTAATGAAACTGTCACTGGACATGCTGAGGTCGGCCAAGAGTAACTGACTGGAGTAACTGTACGACCTAAACTTTAAGCCTATATATTCTCTTGAATTTGACTCTGCCCTCACCATTAGTTCCACCTGCTCTGCCCACACCATTAGTCCCACCTGCTCTGCCCACACCATTAGTTCCACCTGCTCTGCCCACACCATTAGTCATACCAAGTTCACTGGATTTTAGAATTAAGTACACAACCAAGTCATTATTCTGTCAATTTATTCATTTAACTTGTCATCAACAGACGGGAATCAACAGTCATACCTTATAGGTAAACAAAACTTATCGTTACAACCAGAGCGGATATTCTGAATATTCATAAACTATTTGGTTAAAATACAATATACTTCATAATAATAATGTAACAACTTAGTAAAATAACACCTAATTCGTGAAATTGTCAAAATATCTGAAATATCTATCTGTTTTTGTTACATAATTTGACGGCTTTCGTACAAGACTCATTTTAAAATTCGTGCGCATGGCACAAAAATATGACGTCATACTTGCTACTAGTCTGTTCTACGTCGTAACGTGTTCTACGTCGTAACATGTTCTGCGTCGTAACGTGTTCTGCGTCGTAACGTGTTCTACGTCGTAACGTGTTCTGCGTCGTAACGTGTTCTGCGTCGTAACGTGTTCTACGTCGTAACGTGTTCTGCGTCGTAACGTGTTCTGCGTCGTAACGTGTTCTACGTCGTAACGTGTTCTGCGTCGTAACGTGTTCTGCGTCGTAACGTGTTCTACGTCGTAACGTGTTCT